GAGCAGTAGCACTTTCCACCTCGTCTGAACTGGGTTTTAGGATTCAGGAGCGGCTTTAAGGTTTGGGTTTCAGGGCTTTAGGGCTTAGGGTTTAGGGTTTAGGGTTTAGGGTATAGGGTTTAGGTTTCAGGGTTTCGGGACTATAACATACCATAACCTACTACAGCCATACTACAATAATACACTTGTTTGGGCAAAGTTCCCAATATCAGAGTTTGGGACGGGGGGTTCGGGGTTTAGGATTTTGGGGGTTCTCCTGCATGGTTCCCACTGTCACAGTCTGGGGTTCACGCTTTAGTGGGTGGTTGGGGTTTCGGGTTCATGGTTAAAGGTAGGGTGTAAGGTTTGTAGTTTCATAAGGTTTTCCTTGTTTGCTAACATCATCAACGACGGTTCTGACATACTCCATCGTGGCGACTACGAAGTTGACATGATAGCAGGGCGGCGCTAAAACACATATGGTACACTGACACGACTGACTGGAACAAAGGAATATGTGTAACCTTGAAAACCATAGTAGCAAATCGTCGAAACGACAGAAAACTTAAGAAAGCCACAGCAGCCCAAGTACAATAATGCCAAGCCATGAGAATCTAGATATGCTTTCCGCGTCGGGTGTGCTGCTCAATATCTTTCTCGCGATGAAATGTGCACTGTGTGAGACTCAAAACCCTACACCCTACACCCTCAACCCTAAACTCTCAACCCTAAACTCTACACCCCAAACCCTGAACTCTACACCCTAAAGCCTAAACTCTAAATCCTAAACCCTAAACCCGAAACCCTAAAGCCTGATTTCCCAGCCCTTCATCCTGTCCCCACATTCGCCACGACCCTGACTTTCCGGCTCGGCAAACACGCCGGCCATTATCAGCCACGAGGGATGCTGAAATGTCTGCCAAACATCGAGAGCGGGAAAGCTCCAGATGGCATGAACTTCTGACTTATGAAGTCGAACCATCTAGCGACGTTTCCCCTTGGTCTGATTCCAATCAAGTCCTGCAGTAGCCGCTGCAGCCAGCCCAACCCAAAACCCTACTCAAAACCCTGTAGCAACCTTCGTAGCAACATAGAACCCCAAACCCTTAACCCAACTGCAAACCTCAAAACCGCACAGAGCTCGTAGAAACCTAAACCAAACCCTTCTAGAACCCTTACGGCAAACCTTCGTAGAACCCTAAAAACCCCAAACCCCAAACCCCTTGCCGAATGCTAGGATCTGTGGATCTAGGACCTCTAACTACGGCACCCCTACTTGGGTTTAGGGTTTAGGGGTTTAGGGTTTAGGATTTAGGGGTTTGGGGCTTAACCCGCGCATGACATCAAATGGCCCGCTTAATGCTTCTTAAACCCCTAACTCTCATAGAACGATTCTCGGGAACACAAGAGGACACCATAGTGATCCTTATAATATAGTTACCCTTATTGTAGTTACCCATTATAGCACCCTGTAAGAAACCCCCTAAAACCCTAAACTATAATACCCTAATACCCTAACTACCCTAAACCCTAAACCCTTAAACTCTAAACCCTAAACCCTAAACCCTAAACTCTAGCACCCTGTCAGACACCGCCTAAGCCCTGATACCCTAATACCCTCATACCCTAATACCCTCAAACCCTGATACCCCTAATACCCTAATACCCTCAATACCCTCAGACCCCAATACCCCTAATACCCTAATACCCCTAATACCCTAATACCCTAATGCCCTGATACCCTAATACCCTCAATACCCTAATACCCGAATACCCTAATACCCTCAAACCCCAATACCCCTGATACCCTAAGACCCTAACGCCCTGCTACCCTAATACCCTCAATACCCTCAATACCCCAAGAGCCCTCCTGGTTGCAGCCAGGGCAGAGGCTGTCGTGCCATGCAGGAAAACCCCGACAGGACTCACCTGGGTTTAGGGTTTTGGGTTTAGGGTTTAGGGCTTAGGGTATTGGGGTTTAGGGCTTAGGGTTTAGGGTTTAGGGCTTGGGGTTTAGGCTGGTCTCTTTTTTTGTGCGGCTCAGGGTGTCAGGGGTTTCGAGTTTTGACGGCTTTAGGGCCTTTAGGGTCTTTAGGCCTTGAAGCTTCAGGAGTTCGGGGCTTTTTGGGGTGTAAACCCTAAACCCTAAACCCAAGCCCCTAAAGCCCTAAACCCTAAACCCCTAAACCCCTAAACCACTGAACCCTAAACCCCTAGACCCTAAACCCCAAGCCCCTAAAGCGCTTCAGGGAATGAAGGTTTCGACCTTAGGACCTTCTTGCCCGGGGGGGGTGGTGGTGCTCAGAGGTGGAGCAATCTGGGAGCAGGTTGGTTGGGGGGGTTTAGGGTTTAGGGTTTAGAGGTTTAGGGCCAAGTTTAGGGTTTCGGGTTTAGGGCTCAGGGCTTTGCGGCCAAGAGAGCCAGAATATTCCCACTTCGCAGCTGCCTTGTAGGCACACAAGAAGTTTGTGCCTGCAAGGGGCCAGGAGCGCTTACCGTAGCTGGGCTGCCTTGGTCAAGCGCTCAGGGCTTGCAGCTTGCACGGCGACACATCACCAACACTTGCAAGGAGTGGAAGCTCGAACGTCACAACATCCAATACCCCCAAAGGCTTAAAGGGCAGCAGCCACCCTCGTGCCTTCCGGCATACTGACTCGCCGGGGAAGTGGATGGTGACCTTCGTCCATGACCTCGACGAAAGCTGCCCGGGCAGAGGGTAGGAGACCCAGATCTTGCCGTGATGTGTGCAAATGTCGCAACATGCATGACAGCACTTCAGGAGAGGGCACCTAAGCCCGAAACGCTGAACCCGAATGCAGCGGCGTGCCTCAGGAGCGATCGTGAGAGCTTCGATGACCTCGTGAGCTCAGGGATCGCCGGGACAACTTCCATCCCTCTCTCGCGCAGAAAAAGAATGCTCGCTTCCTGCACATTCTGGGTCACATTGCTGCCCTGAACCCTAAACCTGAAACCCTAAACCCTAAACAACCTGAAGCCCTAAACCCTGCCTGATTCTCAGACATGTTGGACAGACTAGGGACCTCCTCGCCAGCCCGCGGGGCAATGCTTAGCAGCGAGATCCACTTCCTAAGGCAGCGCATCGACGCGACTAGGTTTAGGGCTTACGTTTCAGAATTTGCTATTTGGGGTATGAGGTTTAGGATTGAAAAAGGGCAACCCTCAACGTGATTGGAAAGCAGCATCGATACATGATCACATGCAAAACAAAACCTTGCTGTCTGTCTCTTTACGCAGAATATGATCTGCCCCAAAACCCTGTTCTAATCACTAAGGCCTTAGAAGAGCGATTGGGGGCATATCATGCTATAACCATATAAGGACCATTCAGGGGAAATTGATGCTACTACCCTTACTAGAAATAGTACATTATTTTTCCTGATTCTTCCGACTCTCCTATACCACCCTTTCAGTTGCAGCCTGGGAGCTGCAGGCCGTCGGCCGGGTTGGTGACCATCTCCTCTTATCGCGCAAGACGGACGATTTAGGGTTCAGGGTTCAGGGCTTAGGGTTTAGGTTTCAGGGATTGGGATTCAGGGTTCAGGGTCACCATGACTAGTACTAGTACTCGTAATCGTACTCGTACTCGTCTTTGTACGATTACTACTAGTAGTACAAGTACTTGCACCAGTACTAGTACTAGTACTAGTACCAGCACCAGTACCAGTCGTAGTAATAGTAGTAGTCGTCGTAGCAGGAATAGTGGTAGTAGCAGGATAGGTAGGGAGGCAGGCAGGTAGTAGTAGGTAGGTAGTCGTTGGCGTGGTGGTAGCGGGAGTGGTAGTAGCAGTGGTAGGAGTGATAGCAGTGGCAGGGGCAGCAGCAAGCAGTGGCTGTACTGCTAGAGGGGCAGTGAGGGCCGCTTTGTTAAACTGTCAGAAGAAGATCAGCATGATTTGGAATCGCTGCAGAACAACTAGAAATATTGTTGCGTATAAACGACACTACGACCAGGCAACCAGCCTTTGACAGCTGCTCCGCCCAGGAATCGTGGATCCTTGGGCAAGATCCAGAAATCCTTATCAAGACAACCTCGCCATGACGCCCTCACCACCATCATAATCGTTGAATCGTCATGACCCATTTCATTATCCTTATCCCAATGCCCATGCCCTGCTCAGCGCCAAGGCGATCAGAAATGAGAGAGCATCAGCACCTCAAGCCTTAAGCCTGCCCCACCAACAGCAGCACGGCGACACCGACGAACACGTCTGGAAGCATTCCGTTCATGATTGAAGTGACTGTCACCCTCGTCTGCAGTCCCATGACGGTCGGGGATGTTCTCTCGACTCCGGACTCAGCCCCACGCTTGTTCTCGGCCACGTCCTTCAGGAGGTGAGTCGTGGCCGAGGGGCTGTGCAACGCCACCTGCGTGCGGCACAGCAGAAGCAGCAACGGCTTCGTCGGACGAGGAAGAGGAACTACACCTAGAACTTGCACGGGCGCGAACTCGTACTGATGATAGTATCCCCTTGTGGCCCCTGTATACTTATGCCGCATTGAGCCCAGGCAAACCATAAACTCGCAACCTAAACCCCCCAACAACGTACTCCCGAAACCCTGACTAAACCCCAAAACCCCCAACCTGAAACCGCAATCCAAGTCCGTAAAACCCGAAAAACCCCCAACCCCTAAAACCCTAAACCCAACGAAAAACCCAAAACCCGAAACCTAAAACCCCTAAGACCCCTAAACGCCTCAACTCCCTACACCCTAAACGTAAACCCAAGAAGCCTTCAGAAGGTCGCTGAAGCCACGACCCGTGAGATGGAAGAGCTTGTGGGGCGGATAGCCTCAAAGCGTAGGAATTCGGGTCCTGGGCTTAGGGTTTAGGGTGGTTTAGGGTTTAAGGGCTTAGGGTTTAGGGTTTAGGGTTTAGGGCCGAGGGCCTAGCACTATAATAAGGGTACTGGGTTCGATACTTGAGGTTCTGTAACGAGGGTTCTTCCATGAACTGTGAGGATGCTTGCTTCCTTATCTCGGACGGTAGGAACAGCTTGAGTCCTGGCTACTAGTTAATAGGAGTGCTTCTGTGTGGCCAACACTCACAGTCAGCCGCTGACCGCACCTCGCTTGAAATTCTTTCCAGCGGGCATTAGGCTAACAACTTCGTCTGCTCAGCTTCGGCAGTCAGCCTAGTGCGTCCAGCTACGGCCACTCTCCATAGCCGAATCCAAGGCGGTGAAGTGCGCTTTGTCCTCCCAAGATGCGATTTCTACGGCCTTTCTACGGTGAAAGCACAGTACCTCACACGGACTGCAGTCCTTCAGGTTCACAGGACATGACTCCGCGCCCAAATGATTCAAACGGGGAGACAGGAGGCAACTCCTAAACCCTAAAACCTAAACCCGGAAACGCCAAAATCCTAAAGTCCTAAATCCCTAAAACCATAAAACCCGGAAACCCCAAAACCCTAAAGTCCTAAATCCCTAAAACCATAAAACCCGGAAACCCCAAAACCATTTTAAAAAAAACTTAAGTCCTAAATCCCTAACTCTGTTCAGGGATGCCCCCGGACCCTCACGTCGACATCGGCGCGATGCTTCACCAAGAGCCGGCATTCGATGTAGCCTGGCAGGGGCCAAGGCCGGCCCCCTTAAACTAGTACGATTATAAAAACTATTACCATGATGATGATGATGATGGTTGTTATTATTGTTCTTATCTTCATGAATATCTCCGTATTGTTATATTAACCTTCCCATCTTCTTCCCAAGCGGCGGGGGGAGCGCCAAAGACTTCTCCATTTCCGCAACTTCCGATAGGATTCCGAGTTTAGGATCTAGAGTTTAGGGTTTAGGGTTTAGTAGGGTTTAGTAGGGTTTAGTAGGGTTTAGGCTTTCGGGCCTTCCTACGCCCGCAACAACGCCAAAGCTGCAGAGCCCGGAGCTGAAGCCTCCTTGGGAAGCTGCGATGTGGAGCGGCGTCTGGCCCTTCATGTTGCGAGAGTTGACCTCACCCCGAAGCTGTAGGGCTTTAGGAGCCGACCCCCAATAATAGTGTTAATACGAATCATCATCATCATCATCATCATAGTGATAACACACTCATCATAACAGTAATAATAACATCAGCCCTCAAGCCTGTGTTGGGTGTAGGGTTTCAGGCAAGCCTGAACCCTTGAACTTCAAGGACCCAAATGACGAGGCCTTTGGTTTATTCTTTGCCCCAGCCTTTAGGGATTTAGGGTTTAGGGTATTGGGGTATTAGGTTATTAGGGGTTTAGGGTTTAAGTACTGCTCCGCGTTGGTCGAACCAGCCATCCACTAAGCCGCACGATGTTCAAGTCAACAAGGTAAACTCAAAGCCAGCGAAGGACTGAAAAGACCAGGCACGTCAGCGCGCATGGTCAACAGCTTCAGCATTGCCGCCGTCTGCATGGCGTTTGGAAGCGGACAGGTGCAAAGGTAAGTTTTCCAGGCGGATCTACACCGAAAACTCCTCCACAGCTTTTATGTTCGCACGTGCGCAGCATGACAAGAGCACCGAAACTCTGACCAAAGCAGATAGGCAAAGTGCTTCACACCCCTGACGCAGTGTCCTGCTTGAAGAAAGCTGCTTCATGGAGCGCTGTATAATTGTCCTGCCACTGTGCGAAGCCGAAGCCGTGACCCTACACTGCCGACTGAAGAACTCAGGCACCAGCTAAACACAGCAACATCATACATGCCTGGCATTACATGATGAAACACAGTGACAGTAATATGGTACAGGTGGGGAGCATGTGAAGAAAAGGAAGAGTAAGGCAACAACACGGCTAATCTGGACACCAACAATATCCAACAATAGTGGCAGGAGCAGGGCAGTAACAGTCAAAAGCAGTGGGGCGGAGATGCGCGCGGAGAATTGCAGTACAGTCGCAATCTCGGGCGGGTTGCCGGTTTCATTGCTGCCAGCACAGCAGTACGACTGCTCCTCCTCCTCCACCTCCTCCTCCTCCTGCACCTCTTGCCGCTGCAGCTGCTTACAGGTGGTAGTATCGGTGGTGTGGCGGTGGCGGCGGTGGCGATACCCATTATGGCCGTGGTAAAGTGGTGATGGTGCTCGTGGTGCCAGTGCAGTAGTTGAGGCCGGTGCTGGTGGTGCTGGTGGTGCTGATGGTGATGCCGGTGGTGCCGGTGGTGCTGGCGGTATCTGGCGGTGGTGCTGGCAGGTGATGGTGCTGGTACTACTTGCAAGCCGTTGCTGTTGACGGTGCTGGTGGTGCTGGTGGTTTGATGGTGCTGGAACAACTTGCGATGCTGTCGGTGCTGCTGACGCTGGTGTGCCGGTGGTTGTCGTGGTGCTCGTGATGCCGAGAGAGTGCCGGTGTCACCGGGCGCGGGGTTCTGCTGGTTCTGCCGGCTCTGCCGGTACTGGGCCGGCAGCAGCGGCAGCTGCTACGCGGTGGCGGCGGTGACGACAGTGGTGCGATAGAAGCGACGGCGGTAGTTGGCGCTGGTGGCGGCGATGGCGGCGGTGATGGAAATCTGTTTGCTGTTTTCGTGGTAGTATAGTGGTATTTCTTGCAAACTACAAGCACGTCGCCAGTATCAACATCAACACCATCATTATCATAATGCTCATCTTCATCTGAGCAGCAGTGGTGCTTCGTGAACGTCGCCATCGCCATCAGCAGCACCGTCACTGTGCTCATCATCGGCAATGCTGCAATCATGATGATGACCACAAAAAAGCGAGGTGTTCTCTCGAGTCCCCATCGGACATGATAGTCAGCACCTCAAAGAGGGTTGACAACCCGATACTGGAACCAATTTTCAATACCGTCGATGCCAGCAATAACATCACGTCGTTCCGCCGTTGACACATACTCTTAATCAATCTGTTGAACCTGCCTTGCCATCGAATCGGGTCTTCGCATCGACATCGGCATTCGCCTAGCAAGGCTTTCGAGCTGACGCAACGAAAACCTGTCCAAGGCCACAGAAAAAACTTACGACCCTGCGCAGAAACAAGCAAAAAGAAACGGCGATCTCTTCACTTGATGCCCCAGAACTCTGATCCCACAACCATTGAACGAAGCTCTTTCGAAGACTGTCGCAGTTCCATCTCTCCCTGCACCTCCCCCAGGAAGTCAAGGAAGGCCACATTGCCGACACCCGCTGCCAAGTGCAGGGCCTCACAGGTACCTCGGTCAAAGCCACGAGTTGCTTGAGAAGCTTTGACGGATTGAAAACGTTTGATTTGTTTGGGGACTTGAGAGTTTGTGAAATTAATTGCTATTGCGACTGCTATGACTATGCCTGTGACTATGACTGTTACTGTTACTCTTGCTCTTACTACTTCTACTGCCATTACCATTACTATTACTACTACTGCTACTGCCAGTACTATTACTATTGCTATTGCTATTGCTATTGCTATTGCTGCTACTACTACCTTTACGACTACTATTACGATTACTAAAGCGAACACTGTTACGATTATACTACTACGATTACAATTCACGAATACGATTACGATGTCTATTACGAATACTATTACTATGACTATGAATATGACTATGACTGCTGCTGCTACTACTACTACTACTGCTGCTGCTACTACTACTACTACTACTACTACGACGACCGCCCTACCACAAGAATCGCAGAAACCTAAACCCTGAGCGCGTAGGCGTCAACCTGAAGCCCCGAAAGCATGAACACCTCAAAGCTCCAATAATGTCAGCGAAAATGCAATCATACATATCTACACACTTCAGTATAGTACAGCATGGTATAGCATAGTCTCGTACAGTGATATAATGATATACTATCTGCAAGATAGACATAGTAAGAATACTGAAAACAACAACAAGAATGCAAGAGTCCTCACCCTCAGCCCCGAAGTTCTGAAGACCCTGCAACGCAAACTGGGGTGGATGCCCATCTTGTTGTGGGCTATGAACCAGCCTCGGCTGCAAGATCTTTATGCATAGTCCCTGTGATAACCCATAAATCGATGCCTATTGCACGTTTCTGACAGACGACAGGTGCATTGGCATTCAAACAAAACATCAGATATGCAGCTCCGGTGTATTTTTGCATGTGCGGAATTAGGGGCATACGACATGCGGTCAAGGAAACGATCCAAAAAGTTGACAGGATGCTCTTGAAGGAGTGAGGCTTCTCAAGGGTATGTAGTGAGTTTTGTTCTGCATGCATGCATGCAAGTGACATAATACCGTTTACTAAAACATGCTAAAACCCTGCCCCTGCAAATACATTCCATCGGGGCGTGGTGTTCTGAAACTGCTATTATGCAGTAAGATATGGCTGCTATACTTCAAAAGCGGGTGCCCTTGACGTTGCTTTCTGTGTTCAAAATGCGAGAGGGCTTCCCTCCTGCCCGAATCCAACCATCTGGCTGCATCTCTTTATGAGCCGCATGACTTACGCTTGTCACAATGTCGGGGTAACACCACCGAAACAAACAAAATGGATAGATGACTAGGGGATCGTGTTTCCATTCGCGTGTGCGTGTGTATGTGTGTGTATGTGTGTGTATGTGTGTATATATATAATTAATATATATATATATGTATGTATGTATGTATGTATATATCTATATATATATATGTATACATGTCTGTGTGCGTGTGCATGTGCGCGTGCAAACGACTGCATATATCTGTATATATGTATATATGGTTATATGTATATATGTATATATGTATATATGTATATATGTATATATGTATATATGTAAACGTGTCTATATGTATATGTGTATATGTATATGTACGTGTGTGTATATACAAAAAATGTGTGCGTGTGCTTTTGTATGTATGTATGTATGTATATATATATATGTGTGTGTGTGTGTGCGTTCGTGTGTGTGTGCGGGCACATACATGCATGCATGCATACATACATACATACATAGATACATACATACATCCATACATAAAAATATATGTGGCAAGGACCTTTATGTT